CTAAATATGACATACAAAAATATTCATTATCATAATTTCATAACATTAAAAGTGGGTTAGCCGCATTTTCGCAACTTGTTCTTGTTGTCAGGACGACTTATTTGGACGCACCTTGTCCGAATTTCTCTGTCATAGTAGTTATCATAGTTCTCAGCGTTAGAGCGTGGATTTAGTACATTCTCAGACTATTCGCCGGCATCGTAGTCGACATCATCAGTGAGTTTTGCCATTCTTAGCACCAAGCTACAACTCGTCAAAGAGACAAGTGAAGTCAATCCCTTGACCAAACTGTTGTGCTATCCTCTCCTTTCTGCCCTGGCTCATCTATCTACTAGTTCGAGGTCATATCCACCCTTGTAGGTCTTTCTCCATCCCTACCTTTCTTTCATAATCCCCGTTCTGCTATCGGCTCTTAATGGCCATTATGTTTTATTTTATTAATTCTATTTGGGTATCCGTTGTCAGGTATCCGTCAAATTTTCTCATTCTGTATTCCAGAATACGACGTCCGTTAATCGTAGGCTTCTGATGATCATACTTCTCAGTATTCCTATATTCAGTCTGTAGTTGTGATGAGACTCAAAATTGAGTATTATGTCGGCATTTGACCTCCTTCGGCACAATTTTCTCTTTGGGCAATATGCGTCCAACTACTCACTTACTGATGATGCCAACTACAGTGCCGACGAAACGTTTGAGAATGTTCCAAGTCCACGGTCTGATGCTGGGAATCATGACAACTACTATGACAGAGTAATTTAGACAAGGTGCGTCCAACTAAGTCGCCCTGACAACAAGACCAAGTTACGAAAACGGGCCCAACTCACTTGTATACATCGAAAGGAGACTGCGACCATACCGAGGGCCACATCATCTTGATTTTCATACCATTATATGTTAAGTTATCATGGCTCATGCTCTCCTTAAAATTATGGTATAATTTAATCAGTTAATACTCAATGGGAAACTGCTTTTCGATATAATGCCAGCATCTTGTATAATATTGGTATTATGCTAATTATGTAACTTATTTTATAGGACTACGGCATCAAGTGTATGGTGCATTATAGAATAATATCAATTGTCTACGATATGTATACTTCCAAATTACATTTTTCCTTAAAATAAAATGCTTCGAAATTTTAAGATCGAACACTGGCTAGTAAATATAATGTTTTCCCATATTATACGACTGAAAGGGATATATTAAAATAGGTAAATTATGATAACTGTTTTAATGGGATGCAGCAGGTCCATCTTTAGATTAAAAACGTACAACCATTGGAATCGACTCACCTAACTAGCCGATGCCTGTATTCGGAAATAAGTGGGGCTCCTTTCATAAACAAAGAAGCTCGGAGTGGATTTGTGGTTTTAGGGTCTTTACGAAAAGTATACCAAGCTTTAAAATTTTGGTGATGTTTTAGTAACCAACACAATATAGTTAAGCTCCTGGGCCTGAAATATTCCGAAGTGGTGAAGAATCGAGCAATTGGAAGGACAAAGACCATGACGTGAATGCACAAATAAAACATGCCGACGCCCATTGTCCAGTTTGCGTGAGTCCTAGGCTCGCCTCTATTCAAGTAGGAATGGAAGGAATCTACTGATGGAATTAAGCTTAACGGATCATCCAAAACATAGAAAAAGAATACTTCCAAAGTGCCACCGGTAAAGTCCATCTTTAAAGTCCCTCAGTTTAAGCTGCTCATTATTTTTGATGAATATGTCGATGGTGGCGGGAATTAGTCCTGTGCTAACATGTTTGAATAGCATGTTTCATGGAATACTCGCTAGATAGTTTCATGCCGTAGAGTGGAGCGAACTTGTAGGTTGGTCATACTAAAAACAAAATGAAGCATCTCGCTTTTAGCGTGCATCGTTTCAATAAAGCTTGAATAAAATTTTTTTCCGATGCTGCGGAATTTTCGGGGTAAGGTAAAGTATAGTCGTTTTTTAGATACCCTTTTTGTTGCCCAGTGAGGGAAATAAGTAGTGAGTCAGCGATCCTTTGCATTTTAATATATTTCTCCTTTTGTTCCCAAGACGATCCGGATTTTGCATAATGAGCTGAGCCATTACCGCCGCAGAGCTGATGGCATCCGTGACTACTTTTCCGCTAACCCTGGCGTACTGGCCTGTTTATCCGAAACTCCACTCTGTCCGGGGGGAGCGTTGGATATTATGTTCAATGCCAGGCACGAAGAGCCCCAAGCTGGTGAAGACGACTGCACAGCGACTATTGCCGGGGCCCTGACGGTCGGCGCAATGGCGGAGGGGGCCGGCAACGATGGAGTCGATCTGCTGCCAGGGGGTCTGATGAACGGGCTCGGATTAAATCTCAGCAACTTCGATAAGGCGTTGCTAACGCCTGGGCTGACGGTCGACTTGTTGATGCAGGAGAATGTCCACCTAAAACGCCAGAACAAAGAGGCCGAAAACAGGATGGCTGAAGTACAAGTAGGCTCGTCATGCATGACATGCTCGGTTGCCCCTCACCGACCAGATTTGCCTGGTAACTTTGGCACTTTAGTCGCAGTCTGGCACCGACCGGCTCCGGTCTAAAGAAGGCTGGTGATGAGCTGGCTCTTATTTCATGGGATAGTGAGTGCGAAAAAGAGATTCTGGGCCGATCGGACCAGAAGATTGGAAGATTCCCATTTTAGTCCACGACACATCCTCCCTTTTTTCGAGTGAAGACGTGTTAAGCTTTCGTCCATCATATGATCGACATCATCAAAGCTGTAACTAATTCTTGTAAAAGTCTCACATTAATATCGGGTCAAAAAGACTGTCCGGCTTTATCTTACCTCTTATATATACTCATAGTTGCAAGTGAAAACGTGTAGACACAGATAGATATAGAATTATTTGGCTTATTCCTTCTCATTTTGGTCATGGTAGTTTTAATTGAGTGTGTCTATGTCTGTGTGTTAACGTGTATACGTATAACCAGTCCTTATTAAGAGTGACTAAGAAAGCTTTATATCAGGCTTGGAATATCAAGGATTAATGAACCAAGAAAACACATTGACCAGGACTATTTAAGTCCGTAAGCAATTCTAGTTGAAATAATGACCATTCGTACTAGCGCAAAAGGTATGACTGGCGCTGCGTGATCTCGTACGTCTGGTTTGCTTGATGAGCTAAATCTAACATGTTGGACGAGTCTCAGGGAAGTTAGAACCAAGTTGGATCATCTTCTTTTGGATGGCGGCTCAAAGCCTTCTCTTTCCTTTAATCTATCAATCAAGCATAAGTAGTTCCTACTCAACCTTCTACTACTGTTACTCACAGTTAACGTATTCCATATTCTATTAATTTCAATAACCTCTTTTATCTTTCTTTTAACAGTAGACGTACCATAATTAGCAAACCAACTAGCTTAACACCATTCTTTTTCACGTTCAGTTTCTGCCATGTGTTCGGTCACTTCCGACCGTTGGATCCAGCTACCTTTGCAAGCATTTTTGTGTTCTACCAATCCTTATCGAATAGTTCGGCATGTCTCACCAACTTAAGATCGACCGCAGGAGCACATAATCTTGTAGCAGCCGGATCTCGATAATGGGCATATTTCTCTCTACAAGATGGCATAACCGAAGAAAGTGTGAGGGTTTTTTCGAGCACTGTTTTTATCGCCCACTTTCTCAATTGTTCGCACATCTTCTTAGATAGAAGACATGATGGCAAAATGAGGACATGAGAAAAGGACTCCGCTTGTCTATCTTTGACTAAATAGTCTCAGTCTTAAAATGTATTTCTTAGCAAACAGATATTATCAACATTTGGGCCCAAAAAAGAATGGTTTTCCAAGAGTAAATCTTTCAGCCGTTCCAGCTTTTTAGTCAAATGGTTTCTATCCACTAGTCTCATAATCTTAATAAGCATTAACTTTGAAATTCCAACCTTTATTTTATCACAATTGTTGGAAAGAAAATTTCTGGTTCACGAAATGAGCAATGACAGTCACGTAAAACCCACAGAACGATTTTTTCGTCCATTTTTTGATGTAACAATGCAGGCTTGCTAGCTCTGGAGAAGAAGCTACATTGAGGCTAGATAAATAATATGAGGCGGAAAAGAGGACGTTTAAGGCTTGTGGCATGTGGGGAGTCTGAAGACAAGGTGCCCGGAGTATTTGGATGGGAAGATTTAATTCATAATTCTAAGCCTTCGTTACAATGCATAGCGAGACCTTTGACAGACCATTTTCGTTTCATCTAATGAGGCAAGAGGACTCTAGCTACGTCATCTTCGGCAACCAAGGGGAACATCGGGCATATCGAGATCTAGTGATAGTCTATACATCCTCTAACTACATACCTAGCGGCTTCGTTAAATGCCATGGAAAATAC